GGAGACACACACACACACACACACACACACACACACACACACACAGTTGGCAGAGGAACGTTTGAAGCATTGCCTGGTGGCCTCAGGCAATGGAAGCTGCCTGCTGTCACAAGTAGAATGGAAAACGTGTGGTGGTGTGGTGGTTGGGTTGGTCCTGCAGGGCATAAGGGTACTTGTCTGACAAACTTACAGTAAGCACAAAATAATGTTTCGAGCTGCTGCTTTGTCTGTGAGCACCCATGTAATACAGCATACACAGCCTTTGCTTTGACCTATGTGTGTACATCTTTACTGTCTGCTTTTTCCTGTGTGTTTTGCAGTCTAATGTGTTTGTGTTTTCTCTGTTCCTCTCTCAGACACAGATCCCAGAGTTTTGGAGAGGCAGGAGCTGCAGCAGCCCACATATGTTGCTCTGAGCTACATTAATAGGTATGTCTATACTAAGTCTACACTAATTTGCTTAAGAAAAAATATGAATAAATACAGTACCATTCAAAAGTTATTTTATTCAGCAAGGATGCATAAAATTGTGACAGTGAAGACATTTATAATGTTACAAAAATAAATGCTGTTCTTTTGAACTTTCTATTCATCAAATAATCCTGAAAAAATGTATCAGAGTTATATTACAAAATATTAAGCAGCACAACTGTTTTCAATATTATTAATGATAAGAAATGTTCCTTAAGCATAATTCAGGATCATGTGACACTAAAGACTGGAGTAATGGCTGCTTCACACCATCACAGGAATAAATTCCGTTTTAAAATCTATAAAAATTTATTTTTAAAATTGTAATAATATGTTAAAATAATACTGTTACTGTATTTCATTTATTTATTTATTTATTAGAAATGCAGTCTTGGTGAGCATAAGAGACTTTCAAAAACCATAAAAATATCTTACCAACCCTAAACTTTTGAATTGTAGTATATACTGTATTTCTATACATCATATATACACATACAAACACTTTTATATATACAATGTATTATAACCTTAAGCACATACATGCATACATATATGCAAGAAATCTTAAACTAAAATGCAATGGGAAATTTCTGTAACAATATATATAACATCAAGAAAACTGTGCCACGGAAATTATACACTTGGGAGGTCAGTACAGAAGGATGACAATTGTATTTGACACATATTTTAGTTACCCAATTCCAAATGTTGCTTTTTCCGTTTTGTGTAATCACTGGCATTCCAAGAACAATAGTCCTCAGGTGCATCATTACCTGCACATCAATCTATTAACATGACCTTTTGTTTGCCGTTTGTTTTTTTTCTTTAGGTTCATGACTGAAGCAGCACGCAGAGAGCAAGAAACTCAGAAGAAGAAGGTCCAACCCAAAATTGCAATATCAGTCACTGGAGGTGTATCGCGTAACAGTACGGCCACGCCTCCTCGGCATAGCAACGGCAGCCTAACTCCACCCGTCACCCCTCCCATCACGCCCTCATCCTCTTTCCGCAGCAGCACACCCACAGGTGAATGGAGTTTGTGTGTGATATTACACAAGTTAGATTTATATATGAATAACAATCATTTGAAATATTTCTAACTCGTTAGGAGTGTTTGTAATACTCATGGAAAATTTAACGGCTGCTGATTTCTCATGTCTTAATTTGTTATAATTAAGTCTGAAATGTTCTGATTTATTAACCTCTAAATTATGGTTTGTTGCATTTGCTGTCAGAGAGTTAGTTCCTCCCTAAACCTAAAGCTGCACTAATTGAATGTGTGTGTCTGTACTGAAAAGTTTCCATTGGTTTAAATCCAAGCTTGTGTGACGTCCACACTTCCTGCCGCTCCATTTCCTGTTTGTTTTATACTGTTCTTGTCTTTTAATGAGCATTTAAATAAGCCTGTCATTATATCAGTGTATGTTCTGTGTTGAGAAATATGCCAAGAGTTAGAAACATAAATAGCAGACTGCCTTGAATTCAACTGAATCTGTGCTGCATAAACAACTGTTGGTTTAGAAATATTAAAGGATTTGTTCACTTCCAATAACTAAATTATCAGGACATTTTTATTCTGGAAGTGAACTAATCCTTTAAAACTGAACTGTGGCCAAAAAAACAAAAATGAAGAAACCCAGGATAATTGGAGCAAAGGGCACATTTGGGTGCTTTCTCAGTTCTCATTAGTTCATCAGCCAATATATGAAGCAAATAAATGATTAATTAAACAGTTTAACTTTTTCACACTCAGGCAGTGAGTGTGATGAGGAGGAGGTGGAGTATGAAGACTCTGACAGTGACGAGTCCTGGACTACAGAAAGTGCCATCAGCTCAGAGTCCATCCTTAGCTCCATGTGCATGAATGGAGGCGATGAGAAACCCTTCGCATGCCCTGTTCCAGGATGCAAGAAAAGATACAAGGTACTGCACTCATAACTCAAATAATTTATTTATATATTTGAAATAAGTATTATTGTGGTATCAGATATTTAAAAATTCATATTTATAATTTGGTTTACACTTTATAATTAAGATAACATATTACTCTAGTATGATTTACAAATAAAACAAAACAAACTGTGGTTGGTCACATTATATGTAATTTAGACGGTCTCTTCCTGTCAAAGTATGGAAAACCTGCAGTGGATTATATTAAATGTGTTTTTATTCATGAAAAGTTCTTTAGACTTTCCCTCATTCCTGCTTTTCCTTCTAACTTCTGTTTCAGAATGTGAATGGTATTAAGTACCATGCTAAAAACGGGCACAGGACGCAGATCCGTGTGAGAAAGCCCTTCAAGTGTCGCTGTGGGAAAAGCTACAAAACCTCTCAAGGCCTTAGACATCACACCATCAACTTCCACCCACCGCTGTGATACACACACCATCCATTCATTTACATTTCTGGATCATATGTAAACTGGGATTCAAATGCTGATTTCATTTTTTTACTACTTTTTTTCTCTTTATTTGTGTGATTTTATATATACTGTACATGTAGATATACTTGTAAATTTGCACATTCCATGTATATCATTTCTTTACTGCTTTTTAAGATATACTTTATTTTTCATTTTTCTTTTCTTTTTTATTTAAGTGACAGTCACTGATAAATGAAAATTACTGTGCTGAAGATTAGGACACGGCATAAACATTTGTTTCTGATTTTGAAGTCTGTTCAGAGAAAATGGTTTAAAATCAGAAAAGAAGAGTTAAGAAATTCTAGGCAATTTTTTTTTTCCTCATCAAACCTACTTAAAGTGAAAACTACAGTAGGTATGTTGAAACATGTACATATGAAATTATATAAAGACACATTTATATATATATATATATATTAGTAGCTAAGTTGTATTATCCAAACATTTTATTTTCCATGATATATTTTGCAGAACATTTATATTATGTTTTATACAAGAACTTTATCGCATCTTTATGGACTCTTTTTTTTCTGAATTACATTTCATATTTGTATTTGCTTTGTAGAGAAGCAGTCTTTTACTGTCTGAATTGGAAGGACATTGATCTCAGGTCACAATACAGCTGCCAACTTTCAGACAAACAAATCAGGAAACAGGAAAAAACTCATTTCATGAACATTCCACACTGAATATCAAAACGGCTGACATTACCGAGTGTAAAGTTACCCTTCCAGATTTATATTGCATGCGGCTGGCATGCAGGCAGCGCCATCGGTGTGAAATTGAATTCTCTGCATGTGGCCTTCTCCAGACGACTGCAAGCGGTTACATGACGTAGACGTGGTTTCTGTCTAGTTGCATTTGAGTTCTGAGCAATATTTTACATAATGATCCCAGAATGAAAACGCACTATTGTTGAAGCCAACAATAATCACATTTGAAATGTGTCAGCTTAAAGAAAGACAAAGAAGGGCAGATTTATTCTGCCCTATTACCCTGCTGTTATGCCAGCAGTGCAGAAGTGCCAAGTTATTCTTCCCCAACTGAAAAAGAAACATGGATGATCTGCCAAACATACAACAGGTCACATCTGGCAATCCGTTTGGTGCCTGTTAGTGGAGGAGCCTTAAAGAGGACCTAAACTTCTCTTTGTGTACTCAGCCTTGCAGTATTTTTTGTCAGTTTTAGCTTGTACGATCTTTATTACAGTCGTTGGTGTTGTTTATTTATTTATTTTTTGACATTTGGGACTGTCCTCGTGGTTGTGTATACGTATTTGTTAGCCTTCTGCTTGCCTTGCATTGTAGGCTACGGCTTTCTAGCATGACACGACCGCTTAGCTGCTCTGCTGTCTCTTGGCTTGTAGTCTTACTATTACAATCTTTGTTGTCAAAAGTATTATACCATTACTTTATATTATTACTGCTAGTATTACAGTTCGATAGTGCCAGATGCATAGATACGCCTGAATATATTTTCTCAACTTTGATTCTTGAACAATTTTGCATTGGTCCTGTTGTTGGCCAAAAATAAAAGCATACCACAGTTTACAAAAGTAAACTGTCTTTAGCAATTGCTAAGAGCTTAAACTTTTGGTCCAAAGAAGCTTTCCTATCCACTAGTCTGTTTTTCTTGGTTAGGGTTGGTCAAATTAAACGGACCAAAATCGGCACTGCCATATCTCCAGATATGAAGCTTGGAAAAACAAGGTGCTGTTCAATGATGGTATCCGATCTCCATGGTTCTTTGAAATGTATACCATGGTATTTTTATGGTATTTTTATGGTACATGTCCAAAAACATGGTAATACATGATACTTTTTTTTGTTAGTGGTGCTAAGATGGGACAGAGAAATTCAATATGGACAAAATGTTCCATATATTTCCATATTTGGACCAGGATCTGTATTTAAACACTAATATCGTGGACTGTTGCCATGATTTTTTTGGAAAAAAAAGAGGCTTAAAGTTGACTGAATGGATAGTTACTATAATTTAGATGCCAAAAACTGGAGCTAGGGAATGAAGGAAGTATTGGATGCCTATCGTTGAGTGACTCATTGTAGATGACTCACTGTCCTGTTATTTTCCAATTCATCCGGTGTCATGTTTGTTTGTGTGTGTGTGTATTTTTGGACGATGTACCAGTAACCACATTTGTACCTCTCTTTGGCTAAGGAGTCATTTGGTCTCAGCTTCGACATGCAAACTAGAACCTGTTAAGCATGATTTTATTGGATAGGATCCGAGTGACTCCTTACACCTAGTAATGTGATGGAGATGCATTTATTTTGGAGGGAGTTTAATATACTATATTAGTGAATGTATCGTATTGCAAGTCTTTTGTAAAGTGCTTTTGAAATTATATTTTCGTACTGTATGTTTTTGTGGAAAATGTTTTGTGGAACCGAGGCAATTTGTATGTGAGACGACATATAATGTGTGTTTGTGTGAGCGAACGAGAGACTCTTTTGAGACGTCTTTATCCTCAAGCTGCAATGTAAACTTTAGGACAATGGTACAAAAATAAAGAAAAGCAAACAAGTGCGCTGCCCGTTTCTGTGTTTTATTGTCCATAGAGTGTTGATGTAATGACTGTTCTGTTGTGTAATGATTTGCTGATACAAGGACAAATGTTCAGTTTAATGAACTTGAGCTGTAGCATTCTTTATTAATAAACACACTTGATACACACAACCACAGAGCAACCCTAAGTTAAACTTCCTGGCACACTTACAGTGGGAAGCATCAGCTGTGTTGGATAAATGGATTTCAAGCAGGAATGTGTGATGGATATAATGCTGAAACTAAATGTTTTAAGTTGTTCGATGCAAGATGTTTGAACCAATGATGCACTGAAAAGTTGCACAGCCATTGATTTAGCACACTGGCTCTGGATTGAGTTACTTGGTCATTTTAGCTGAGCTTCAAGAAATAGTTCACTTAAAAACAAATGTCATCGCACAGAATAACTTTTTTTTTTTAATAATAATTGGATTATTTAAAGGAACTACTAGTAGAATAAATGGAGACTGGAGTTTTCAACCTTCCTAAATGAATTGGTTGAGCCACTAAACAATTCATTCACAAATTAAACTGATTCAGTATGGAAGCTTGTTTCTGCCACTTCTTTTCTCACAATTCTTTTTCTTCTCAGAATTGTGAGTTCAAAACTGTGGCAGAAGCAGGCTTCCATAATTCAGTTCATTGGCTCAACTTAAAAAGATTTTATGATATTTTTTATGGAGCTTTTACATCTTTTCTGAAACTTAAAAGCTCCAGTCCACATTTATTGTAATTGCATTTGAAGCACAACCAGCAATTAGTTTCACAGAAGAATGTTATATGGTTTTAGAACAAAATGAGGGTGATTAAATGGTGACAGAACTTCCATTTTTAGGTGAACTATCCCTTTAAATTAGTCTTTTAGTGACTGTTTTTCACACATAAAGCATTCAATGTCTCTGAGGTAACGATTTTAGAGTAATTTTAGTGATTTGGCTTTATTAATTTTGGCCATCTCCTTTTGGCTAAATAAACATATACATCATTGCATCATTGGTCCTTCAAAATGAAGTCTACATTTTCATAAACAACAACCTAGAGCTATCTGCTCTCATTTTAAAGCGCAATCAGTTTTACAGTAGTGCACAACATTTTAAACTAAAAAGTGCTTTTTATTTTATTTTTTTACATGTCTGTTACACCTGAAGACCATTATTATAGTATTATGTCCTTTAGAAGCTTAAATATCTGAATTAATGCTTGTCTATGTGCAAATCAAATATTCCGATAGCAAGCCCTCCTGGCATGAGTTGTGCAGCGGTTACGACAAAGTGACAACATCAGCGTGTTTTGAAAAAAAAAAAAATAACACTGAAGCCCCCGAATCACCTGAGGCGTTTTATATTGAACCAGAATCAAATAAATATTTTCCTCTCTAATCAAAGTTATCAAAGTTCAGAACATTTTCATCAAAGTGTGTGTGCACATGCTTTTCGTAGAGATGCTGCTGGCAGTCCAGAGGAAACTGCTCGCTGCAGACAGGACATACCCTCCAGTGAGACTCCACGTGGTGTTCAAAACTGCTTTGCTCAAAGTGCGGTGGGAAGATCACCTCACACAGGGGACACCGCTTATGAACATCAGGTCTGAGCGGGGAAGAAAGTGAGATGGTTTTATTCTACAACTATTTGCAAGTGGGATGTGTCTGGAATGAATGATTGCTTATTGCTTACTGCGTACTACAACATAATATGCCAGACTTCTTACTGCCTACTACAAGTTTACAGTGGAAACTATGAGAGAGTAAACATTTTAAACAGCAGTATGCTATGTGTTAATCTCACTATTGTTTAGTCAGCAAGTGGTTGTCAGTTATCTGAAAATAAAGATCAAAAACATTTTTTTATTATCAAAAAAATTAAGCAAAATAAAATATTACTTTCTGTCAGTCATCACTTTGTAAATGGAAAATCAATTCCAGGACTGTTTCGAATGAAAAACTAGCTTACTGGTTATCAGGGTTATTGTTATAACTAAAACTAGAAACATTTCCAATACTTGAAATAAAATACAATAAAAATAAATAAATAAAAATAAAATAAATAAAACTGATTTCAGTTAGTTTCCAAGGTAACTTTTTTCATTTTCATTTAATTTAATTTGAAGTACTAAAGTAACAACAACAACAAAAAAATTATAATAATAACAAACTTACTAAACTATATTTAAAAAATAATCATAAAAATGACAAAAAACACTTGAACTTAAATTACAAAATATTTAGCTAACATTAAAATAAAAACAGAAAATATAAAGAGACAATTTCAAAAATATTAACAACAAATTTTATAGTATATAAATGATACTAAAATAACTGCTGCTGCACACTATGCAGTATATACTGTACTGTAGTGTTTACAGTCTAATATTTAGAATAGTTTATAGCACACACTTTGTAATCATGAATCAACTGTAAACCTTTAGTATGCTTCATTGTCACATAACCTCACCAAACTGCAAATGACATCCAGTTATTACCTTGGAAATAAGTATTTACGGTAATATTTTATTTAATTTTGGGGTAAAGAAATGTTTTGGTAGGTCTTCCAAAACTTTTGACATTCAGATCCAATAATGGGTCAAAAACCCTAGAAAGATGTATAAAATAAAATAAAATAAAATAAAATGTAAAAGACATTTACATTATTGCATCATTGGCCTTTTAAAATAAAGTCCTTATTTTATAAACACATTTTATAAAATAAAATGTGATATTACTTTTAGTCATTTGTCACTTTGGAAATTGAAAGTCAGGTCCAGAGCATTGCATTGTGGGATACAGTGTTTCACATAGTATGCAGCATACCACAGGTTTTGGCAAATATAGCACTTCTGAGCATTCAATGCATACTAACAGTGTACAGAATACGCAATGCAAACAGTATGAGCAGTATAGTTGCATGTATTTCCTAACATTTACCTGGTGTCAAAGCAGAAGCTGGTATGGCTCTCGTTAGATTCCAGGCTCTGATGATCGCAGACTGCAGGGGCCTCACCATCACCTCCCTAAGAAAGACATAAAAACCAAAATGAAACACACACATCATTTCTTCTTGACTGAGACATAATACAATGTTCTTCAGCGGACACATTTAGCTGCCACCTCTCTATTGAGACATAACAGCTAAGATCTCACACAGACACACACTTTCGACAAAAAGCCACGCCTGTCTGCACACAGCCGGCTTCCTGCAAAGGTTAATGGGCTTTTAACGCAGCAAACGAGAAAGGAGGAGAAAGGGGTCAGCGCCGATCTGCACCCTCAAATATCACAGGCCGGCACCCCCAGCCAATTAGCATAGCCCTCGTCAACATCTCTCTCTAACGAGCCTCTAGCCTCGTCACTCTAATCCGCTAACGAGCTCAAAAGAGAACAGCCTTAATTGCAGTTTCAAGCAAATGAACCACCTCAGTATTCACCTATGAACTGAGGTCTGATGGTGCGGGGAATGCAGAGGGCAGTGAGGAAAAGAAGATGAAAAAAGAGTGAATGAAAGAGTTTGAATCTAAGGGCGACAAGGTGGAAGTCAAGAGGAAAGGCTGAAAACGGAAAGAAAGGCTGAGAGAGAGGACGAAGAAGTGAAGGTTGCTGAAGAGTGGCAAAAAGGGAATGCCACATACAGTATCAGTTTAAAGACTGACACAATAACACCCCGATTGTTAGCTCTGAAGCTTGCAAAAAGCTTCATCAAGACGTAAAATAAAACTGACGAGTCTTATGAACTAGTTTTATGGGTCCCATTTTATATTAGGTGACTTTAACTATAATGTACTTGCATCAAAATAATTGTTTGCTGCGATGTACTAATTGTGTTCATGTTGTATTTTTAGATATAAGTACAATGTAAAAACATTGTATGTACACAAGTGCATTGTAAATATAAATTTTTAAGTACATAGTAGTTAAAGACACATTATAAAGTGGGGATTATTATTATTTTTTTTTAGGATTATTTTATGGTCCTTTTGCATCCTTTTTGAAAGAAAACAACAATTCTGTCTCCCTCATGTCATTACAAACCTGTATGACTTTCTTTTGAATAATGTGCTGGTCGCTCTTTTCCTTGCAATTATAATGAATGGTAACTCAAGTTTTCAAGCTTTAAAAAAAAAAATGCAAATGTCCCATAAACGTATCACAAAAGTAATCCATATGACTCATGCACTTTAAAGCCTGAAGCCTTTCCAATGTATGAGAAAACAAAACAATTGTGGGTAATTAATGACAGAACTTTTATTTTCAGTGAAGTAATCCTTTAAGCATTTATTGTTCAATCATCTTATATCACACTCCTTTTCACATTTGAAAAAAATTAGATACAACTGTAAAATCTTGCGAAACACAAAGGAGATTAGACATCTCATTAAAGAGAAAGGAGTAATGTTTGTTTTTTATTCAGTATAAATCGTTTTTGTAAATCATTGTAATAATATCTGAATAATTTTCAAGATAATGCTAAATGATATCTAGTATAACAGGGTCTTTCCAAACTGGGGTTTGCAAAACCCTGGGGGTTCATGAGTTGATGAAAAGCTAATGATTAATTAAATCATAAAAAATTTAACATTAAAATAAATAATTCTAAAATCAAAAATTAATAATTAAAAATAAAATTACAATTACAATACAACTTTTATTAAATTAAAATAAATAATTTAAATAAATTATTTTGTTTACCTACATGTCATGTGACCATTAACCAACCTCAGAGAACCATAAACATGCAAATGTGTTGTTATTGAAATGCAGTATAATATCAAGTAAAAACACATTTCTGCTTTGGTGTTGATGAAGATGAACATATCAGTTTTATCAATGGTGCTGTGACAAAAAAGTTTGGAAATCACTATTCTAAAGCTGTAACATTGAAAGAACGTCTGCTAAATGTCACTGTAACATCAGACAGGATATGTTTTAACAATGTACTGCAGATAAGCAACAGCTTTAAAAATGACACTGTCCAGATTAAAATGCACTCTTCCAATACTACCCATCAAGCACTACTTATAGCAGTCTGAAGTTACATTAAAACAGACCATGTCTATTGTACATCATGTAGCTGCCAAAGGAAAACATACACAGTAGAAGTTGTTGTGGTGCTTTCAAAATGTTTCCACTGCTCTATCTATGTGTACAGTATGTGTCCTTACATTAGGCCTCTCTTCAGCGGGATTCTCCAGGCCATCAGGGGGGCTGAGACTGCGTGATGGCTGACTGCAGACCACAGGACCACCCCATGGCGGTGGAGCCAAAGGAGGGGGCCGGCAGGTCTGTTCTGGGGATAATGCCCCATCTGCTCCATCTAAGCAACAACAATTCAGGAGGTTCTGAATAGGGCTGTCACATTTCAGTAGTTAGATACCAATGTCACTGAAATGGTCTCGATAATCTACCAATTTCGACACAAAAGCAAAACAAATATACTACACTTATGAAATGCAATTAACTGTATATATGTAAATATTAAGCAGCAAAACTGTTTTCAGCATTGTTAATAAAGAAATGTTTCTTAAGCATCAAATCAGCATATTAGAATGATTTCTGAAGGATCATGTGACACTGAAGACTGGAGTAATGACTGATGAAAATTGAGGAATAAATATTTCACAGGAATAAATAACGTTTTATATATATATATATATATATATTAGAATAAAAAAAACAACTGTAATGCAATAATATTTCACAATATTATGTTTTTACTGTATTTTAGATCAAACAAATTTAGCCTTGGTGAACATAAGAGACGTCTTAAAAAAAACAAAAAAAATCTTACTGGCCCCTAAATTTTAAATGGTTTTGTATGAAAAATTATTAATATTTATACATTATTCATAATTAAGTAAACACTTTCAAGTTTTTTTTTTAAGTAAATATTACTTACTTTAGTATAAAATAAATTCAACCATAAACGGGTCATTATAGACCAGGGGTGCCCAAACTCGGTCCTGGAGGGCCGGGGTCCTGCTTTTAAGTTTCTAGTATGCCTAGTAAGAGCTTGATTAGCTGGTTCAGGTGTGTTTGATGGGGGTTGGAGCTAACCTCTTCAGGACACCGGCCCTCCAGGACCGAGTTTGGACACCCCTGTTATAGACAATCTACATTTTTTCAAATAATCTAGTAGTTTCTTTACTTTACTTACTTTTAAAAATGGATTTGAAATAAATAAATAAATAAAAGTAGACAAACGCATGCACCCACCCCGGGTCTCTTGCTCTGAATAGGGGTTTCCGTACTGCAGTTCAGCAGGTTGTTGGGGTACCAGTGGAAGTGGAGGTTGGTCTTGTGGATACGGCAGTGGGTAACGCAGCATCATTGGCTCTCTGACCTCTGACCTCCGACACCCTGCTGCCTCCACTCTGTTCATACACTGCCGCAACTCCTGCAAGAAAAACAAGCAGTCAACAAAATTATTTATTATTATTAGTTAATAATCAATATTACAAACGAGACCCAGTCTAATTAGACACTACAAGAACCTGAATAAAACTTTGGCCAATGATCTTCAACCAAAGAAACTGAAATCTTGAGTACTATTGTAATACAGATGAAATATTACCAGTCTTTAAATAGCACTGACACAGTGTATAACTCTCCTTGCTTTTTACTCTTTTTCTTGTTTTTTCTTTCCCTCTCCTTTGACCTCATATCCGTGAGCCATGATTAGAGGGATTATTCACACATTTAACATTTAACACAAGTGCTGATGGGTAATCAGGGAGCCGAATGTGGCATTTAGCCGTGACTCTTGGGGCTCAAACATTCACACTCTGCCTGATTTCAGCGTCTTACCTGCTAAGAATCAAATTAAGGTATTTAATATTTAAAGGTTCTCATTAACATTTAGAAGATCAAGCTAATAATACCGGCTTTAGAAGATACTGCAGCTTTTTGGATCTTTGAATAGCAAACAAAGAACAAAATACTAGTGTATATAGCAACAAACAAAAATGATAAGAACAGGTTTATAGTGTAAATGCTCTTACCTTTTCCAGTCTCTCTTTTTCCCTGGTCACCACCACAAGACTCTCCCTCAGCGCTGACACCTCTCTGTCCTTCTCTGCCACCTGAGTCTATCAAGGAATTCATAAAACATATTTTGAGTGGCATCTAGACATGTATTTTATAACTTGCTCTAAGAACACCACTTGAAAGTGAAGTGTGTGATTGTAAATCACTAAAGGCACGAGCTGCAATTTGCAAGTCCTATAATATTTAAAAACAGATAAGGAGTGGCTGTACATGTTAAATCTGGACTTGAAATGTTGGCGTTTCTCAGGATTTTCTGACCAACAAATCTGAATAAATTTTCCATTACTTTTGAAATGACTGGTTCAAGCTAGAAACAATTTCATAGAGGTCACTCAAAAGTTCATGGTTCAAAAATTTGATTTCGAGTTTTGAAAGAAGCCTTGTATGCTCACCAAGGCAGCATTTATTTGATCAAAAATACAGAAAACAGACATATTGACAACTATTATTGCAATTTTAAAATAATATTTTTTAATAATATTTGAATATATTTTAAAGTATAATTTATTCCTCTAAAGGCAAGCTGAATTTTCAGCAGTCATTAGTCCAGTCTTCAGTGTCACACAATCCTTCAGAAATCAATCTAATATGCTGATCTGGTGCTCAAGAAACCTTTATTATTATTATCAATGTTAAAAAAAAAGTTGTGCTGCTTAATAATTTTGTGGAAACTGGGAGCATTTTTTTCAGGATCCTTTTATAAATAGAAAGTTCAAAAGAACTGCATTTATTTGACAGATAAATCTTATAAATATTTTATCTCACTTTTTATCAATTTAATGTGTCTTTGTTTAATAAAAGCATTAATTTTCTAAAAAAAATAAAATAAAATGGACAATCTCTTAATCTCTTATGTTTCACAGGAAAAAACAAACATGCATGTTTGCGCTGCATTAAGGTGAATAGTTAAAATCTTAATTTTTTGACAAACGATCAATTTAAATGTATATGCTGTCCTATATAACACTGTAGGTTTAAGTTTGCTAACTGAGATGTCAGGTTAGAGTTGAGAGTAGCGTGTATAACTGAGACAAATTGATATCGACTGTAATCTCACTCATAGTCTTTGTAACTAGAGGTCTCACATCTAATAGAGAAAGAAAGCGAACATCAGTGTACTGTCTGCTGATCTCCTTCTCTTTCTCTCTTTCTGAGTTATCGTTGTGTAAATGTCTGTTTGGGTTTGAAGTTCAGTTGAAATGGGTTTACTACAATCTTACCCTGCTCTCCAGCAAACAGTCATAAAGCATCTGGTGAGAGCGTGTGCATGCGTTTAAACACGCTGTAAATAAAAGACTTTCCTTTTGATGGTGTCTCCAGCTTTGTCCAAATACTCAGACAAGAAGAGCCCTTTACGACCTCCTTTCTACTTGGCCAGCTCTGTCCTTAATGACTGCTGTGTTCACACACGCTCACAAGACTGACGGAAATGCGATACCTCAGTGAACCGGACCTGAAAATCAACCCGTGGAAGTTCAACTGTGTTTGCACGCTTGTGTGCGCTGACATCTTATGCAAATGAATGTGCGAGTATCCGTGGCTGGCTCTTCCCTGTGAGGTTGAAGGAACCTGAATAGTGTATGTGCCTTTGTGTGTGTGTGTGTGTGTGTGTGTGTGTGTGTGTTTACGTACTTTAAACCGCTGCTCCTCACTGGCTAGCAGGAGTTTCAGGTTTTCATTGATGGTGCACTGCTCTCTCCATTTCTCCTCCATGCAGGCAAGCTCAGCTTCGACTGACACGCTGCACTCGTCTTCCTCCTCCTCTTCATCTTCGTCATCCTCCTCCTCTTTTTTCTCTTCCATCCCATCCTGTCCAGGTCTACCTTCAACTCCCAGTCTCCCGGTATCTCTTTGTGTTGCAGGTTTGATCTCAGCAAGAAATTGATCTTTCAAATGTAAGAAGTTAATGCATAATGCATGAGAAGTTGGTCACAGTATTATACAGCATATAAAAACGTGACGCAATCACAGCCATAAAATATTTGATGATTTGAAGCATTTGATAAATGTACAGCTATGGGAGTTTTGAATGATACCAATAACAAATAAAAGTTATTATATATATTATATATACCAGGGCTGTCCAAACTCGGTCCTGGAGGGCAGGTGTCCTGCAGAATTTAGCTCCAACCCTAATTAAACACCTGAACCAGCTAATCAATCTCTTATGCCGAGTTCACACTGCACGATTTGGGAGATGCAGGGAACAGGGATTGGGTGTTCTGCAAAGAGAGTTGGAGGTAAATAATTTTGCAGTAACGGTTATGCTGATGTTGTGGCTGGTCAAGCAAATGTTTGTGCTTGTTTCTGTATAATATAATTGCTCATATATCTATTAAAATACTGATATTCTGGTCTATAACTCCTCCCCGAACTTCCCTCTGCCCTGTATCTCGGTCTCTCATTGGCTGTAGGTCATCGTCGATGTAATTTTCAGTCAGAAATCATTGCACACAGCGTGATTGTCACTCGCGTGAACGAGCACCGATTTGCCCCCGATTTCGGGCATTTGTCGGCGATTTCAGTTTACAACTGGGTAAAGCCATAATTTCGGTTACTCACCCCCTGTTGCTGGGTCAGTTTGGTGACTTGTCTTCGCAAACGTTGGCACTCTCTGTATTTCTCTTTGTAGTGCTCTGCAGCCATATTCAGACGCAGCTTTAGTTCCTCAACCTCCTTTTGTAGCTCCGCCTCCAGCTCTGAAACCACACCCACTCCACCTCCAGCCCTGCCCTGAAATGTCAAAAAAATCAAATAAAGCACGAACGCAAGAAAGAGAAAGAGAGTTATCTCACAGTTCACACTGTCTAAACATTGTGTCTAAACCATGTGTTCTTCATATTGTTATAAATAGATCTTCACAATCAAATAAACATAAGGGACAGTTAGTTGTGGTTACCACTTCCTGTGATGCCTGGCTTCTCATCCTGTCAAGCTGATTCTGAGCATGTCTGCATTCTTCCTGGGCTTCAGCTAAATAGGCTCGTAGGTCTTCTGTCTCCTGACGGGCACGGTACAGCTCAGCCATGGTGCGATCTCGCCCACCGGAGGCATCACGTAACTCAGAACCCAACATGGCTGCCTGCTGCCGTGTGGCCTGGAGCTGCTCCTCAGCTTCACGCAACTGCACTTTCAGGCCCTGGAGATGTGCACAATGCATTACAGGAATAAATTACATTTTAAAATATATTAAAATAGAAAACAGTTATTTTAAATTGCAACAATATTTCTGTTATTTTTATTCAGTTAAATTTGTATTCTGCAATCAAATAAATGCAGCTATTGGTGAGCATAAGAATCTTCTTTCAAAAACAAAAATGTTTTTATTCCAAAATTTTGACCGGTAGTATATATTTATTGTGTTTGTATATATATTCTTTAAATAAACGTCTATTACGGCATCAGTGGGATGTGTGTCTCTCTCTGTGCGTAGTCTGTGTAGTTCATCCTGGTACTGTGCGATGGTGACCTCCCTGTTCAGCTCCACTGCCTTCAGCATCTGCAGCTCTGCACTGAGTTTAGTGTTTTCCAGCTCGGCGCTTCGCACGTGGGACTGTAAGCGTGCACACACAACATAGATCAATGCACATCACACGACTGATCAATGAATATGATTGCACTTTAAAACCTGTAGATACAACACACACTTACTTTGTAAAGCTCCCTCTCATCTCTCTCATTCTTCAGTTGAGTTTGTAGACTGTCCCGCTCAGAAATCACCTTCTGCAGCCTGTCTGTTAAACTGGACAACACAAAAAACTAAATACAGCATATAAATCCTCTACTATACATATGCATTCTAATCCTGAGATTCCAAAAGGATGACAAATCAAATGCTAATATTTTGAAATTTACTTTTCCTTTTTTAATGAACCTTTTTTCAATTGACCTCATATTGTTATGCTGAAAAAATTATTTAAAATAAATAAAATGTATTTAAATAACTACACAATAAAAGCATTTTAACTAGTTGTCTCAGACTTTTGGACCCCACGGTACATTTGTAAATAATAGAATGATATTCATGTCAGGTAATGTGTGTATGGGCCTTACCAGTCCAGTTCGGTCTCTTTAAGAACAGATTTTTGCGTGATTTCTAGCAGGTCCTGTTCAAGTTGTCTCACTCTGGCTTGAGCCTCCTCCTTCTCCTCACGCAGGCCTTTCTGCAGCTCCTGCAATTGGACAGCAAATGCTATCAATCACACCTTTCAGCCAATCAAAACACTCCAAGCATTTTATCCAATAGCAAAAATCTGTCAAAAGTGATCTAACCAATTATTTAAGAAATATTTAAAATCACACAAACACACACTTTATAAAATAGTTATTTATGAGGATTTTACTAATCTTATAAACAATATCTTCTAGGTTTTGTTTTATCTTCTAGGTTTTTTAGAGAATTTAAAATACATATATATATATATATATATATATGCATGTATGTATGTGTAGTGTTTGTTTAATTATTAGAAATTGATTAGGTTTGTTACTAGACACACAGTGAAGTAACAGAGTAATCCTTGGGGAATGACAGAGACTCTACTGATAATGTGGTAGTTTACAGGAAACTTAACCGAAAGAGAAAATAATTATCAGAAATGCAGGTATTAGTCTGAACCAGTCTATCCCCCTCAAAAACAAACAAGCAAACAAACAAACAGTCCATTGCTGAAGTTAGTTTCCCAATAGTATGATGTCAGCAGGAAAAGAGGGGGCTTCGATTTCACTTTTGTTGCGGTGGCTCATATTTAACAATCGTCATCAGTAAATCACAGTAACATCTGGTTTTGAAAGCACGCATACATGCCTTGTCCTCCGGCTAATCTGGTGACTCGTGGTGTTTTACGGCCGATGATGTTTCGGAATTGAAGCACAGGCAAATAAAATGTGCGGTCGTAAAATTAGCAGCCACAAAATATATACTTATGTTCTCACGATAAAGTGGAAGTCTGTTTTCATATGTAAGTTTTGACAGTTTAACAGACACATGCACACTTATGGCATATGAAAGGGTTTGTGTGACTGGGGTGTGAGAGAGAATTATAAAAGTGTTTATGTTTTATTTGTGGTGTTCTTTGTCCTTTGTGACACCCATAATTCACATTTACAGACTTCAGTAGGGTCTCCAGAAGAAACACTAGGGGGCGCTGATAGACCAGCAAACCAACTGAATCATATCCTGCTGTTTTCAGGGCTCTTTCAGAGTTGAATGTGCTTGTTGTGCAGCCAAACATCAACACCACATCAGAGCCAAATGGAATCTGCAGACTTTTTTTTCTTCATATTCTATGCTAATGTTGAGGGAAAATCGAATGTTGTGGAACAGATTTAACATCGTAAAATGTGGTAGATACATGACATTAGCTGACCATATTTAATATATAATTGAAGGGTACTGATGGGACTTGCATGGTTTTATTTATTTGCTTGATTTATGCCATCTAGGGCTATTTTCGTGGCAAGAAAAGTAGACAAAACCAGTTAAAACAGGTAAATAAATGAATAATCATTTAAAAAAAGAAAAAAGAGATAGACAGGATCAACTGCCATTTCACTGATATAATACCGGTCAAATGTTTGGGGTAAAACAATTAAAATAAATAAATAGTTTTATTCAGCAAGGATGCATTAAATTGTTAAAATAAATTGAAAACAATATTAAGCAGCATAAATGTTTTCAACACTGATAATAAGACATGTTTATTGAGCAGCAAATCAGCATATTAGAATGATTTCTGAAGGATCATGTGACACTGAAGACTGGAGTAATTGCTTCTGAAAATTTAGCTTTGCCATCACAGATGGAAATTCAGCTTTTGCCATCACACAAATAAATGTAGCCTTGCTGAGCATAAGAGACTTCTTTCAAAAACTTATCAAGATCGTACTGACCCCAAACTTTTGAACAGTAGTGTAAATAGCCTACATCAAAGTACCATGGTATTAAAAAATTGATACCTGTACCATGATACCAACACGTTACCATATTTTGTCAAGGACAGTAAAGTCAAATTAACAGGTACGACAAAAGAAAACAATGTTCCGAAAATGCAGATGAAAAAATTCAAATAAAGGAGTTATTAATAGGAAATAATACGAATTACGGCTATTAACATTAACCAACAAAATGAAAAACATTCATATTAACTGTCACACAGTCTCTTCAAACTCCGCCCTTCAATGACACAGCCAATCGAATGTTTGCAAACCCCTTAGACATGAAATGATTGACAAGACTGTTTCTGATACAAAAAAATAAAATAAAATAAAATAAAAACTGTCCATTTCAAACTATTTTTTTGCTTTTCACAGAGCATGAGGCTGTCACAAAGAATTTCTCAGGACACCTTTCAGTGATATGTATTAGGTAGTAGTGACATTTTATTTGTGGTTTTTCAAAAAAGAAATAATTTACAGCACCTTTGAATATCATCAAAACAAGTAGACGAAACTGAAGACGAAAAAGAGAAAGAGAAAATCGCGTGACTGACTGCTGTTGTCTCAGTGACTGGGCAGGTCTCCTCCTTTCTGTTGAGTGGTTTTGGTGGACATACGTGCTCACATTTGACCACGTCTACTCTCTGTGGTCGACATGGCAACAGATGCTCAAGTAAACTTTTCTCTGTCTCTTTCTCGTTCTTTCTCTTCGTTCTTTCTCAAACTCACAGTTCTTTCACTCCAAGTAAATCATCCTCAGCACAGTCAGAATTACTTATGGATAAATCACATGACTGTATGGGGAAGGTCAGTAATGCACACAGAGACACACACACGGCCATTATCTGATAAGATAAAGTGCTCTGTGGGAGTAAGTTCACCGTCAGTCAAACAGAAAAGCGTTTTATACTTGGAGACAGAAAGTCTTAAAGCATGAATGTGCACATAGACACACAGGAGAGCGCTTTGATGTGCAGATAACTTATGATCTCTGGTGTGTTACATGCAGCTAGAACACTGTGTGTGTGTGTGTAAGCCATCTTTGCTGCTTCATTGATTGGTCACTTTTATGTGCGAGTGTGTATTTAGTACCTGGTTCTGTTGTCTCTGTCTCTCCTGTAGCTGATCTCTCTCCTGTGTGAGGAGGCGTAGTGCTTTCTGCAGTTCTTTGCACTCCTGTTGAACTTCTTCTACACGCTGCTGCTCACACACACATATACAGATAATAAGCCAAAAGAAAAAAGACACAAGCTTTGTTCCAAAACCTAGTGAGATGCCTTGCTTCCTACATAGACAGCTGCCTTCTAAGACAGCATCTAACCATAATGGAAGCTCAAGCGTGACTGAGTTGGAATGCTCTACAAAGGCAGCAATTCTGCACGCCACAAAAATAGCACTCCATTTGTCAAGACTGATTTGGATAAAGTTTAAAACTAGCATGTTGCTAAGATATTGGCAGAATATTGTAATAAGTATATTAAAGCTCAGCACACATATATTTGCTAAAATAATCCATTGTAATTCCACTGAACATCTATTTATTTATTTATACTTCAATAAGCATATTAAAACTCAGCACACACAAATATTGGGGAAAATAATCAATTTTAATTACACTGCACTATGTTGTTAATGAATGCGTCTCAGTGCTGAACTAAATAAATGTTTATATATTTTTTTGTATTTATAATTTGTATTCAGATTATAAATAGAGCATTTATAATTGACAATTCTCTTTTCTTTTCCCTGGGATTGTCACAATGCATCCTTGCAAAGAATATATGCAACTCTACTTTATAATTTGGCTAAAACAAGTTAGTTTAAGAGAAACCATGATTATGTTGCCTACACTTTGCATCAGGAGCACACCTGTGATGCCTTAAAATGCTGCATCCTTAGACAGCTCACTAAGTTTTTGGAACAAAGCAGAGATTTGTGTTCTTGTATGTGTGATTTGCATACCTCAAGTAGTCCGGTCTTTGTCGTCACAACCAGTATGTCTGAGTTCCCATCATCTTCCACTGTCAGTAGCTCCTCCCCTGTGGGCGTGGCTGGGCGGAACTGGAATGGCGTGCTCGCACCTCTGATTTCACCCGTGTGTGTGACGTAGCAGAACTGATAAAACTCACCATCACTACGGGGAACATAATAACCTAGAAAACAGCATGTAGGGTATTTGATTACAGGTTTTGTCTTTATCAAATGTATCCTCTTATATAATGTACAATAGAAATGTCATCTGCAAACAAAGCAAAGCAAAAACAAACTGTCAAAACAAAACAAAACATCAAAGATGAATTCTGCAACTTTTAAAAGTTCTGAAATAAAAAATTATGACTCTTTTCATTTTTACTTAAATAACAATAATAGTAACAACTTATTGTCTTATTGTGCAAAAAAAATAAAAATAAAAAGAGTTAAAAACACATTTTTCATCATCCAATCAAATAAAATAAAAAAAGATTAAATCAAAAATGATTTGGTCTTACTGCGCAAAAAGCTAAAAAAAACATTAGCATAATAACTATTAATAATTATTAACTACTAATAAATATTAATAACACACACATTCACAGTCCAATTAAATTATGAGGGATAAAAGCAAGTTTAACCATCCAATCAATTCCAGACAAATAAAATAATGTCGCATCCTACACTTTTCTCCTGTTTCACTATGTCAAAATACGGAGGTAATGTATAAAATATGGGTTGCATATGACAGGCCAATACATGTTGACTTTGTGTGTGTGTGTGTGTGTGTGTGTGTGTGTGTATACCCTGAAAGATGATGGTTCGATGAACAGTGGATCCCTCAGTGTAGTTTTCAGGCATGGGAGACCAGAGGAATGTGTAGTAGTCTCTTGCACTGCTCCAGCCCACCTAACACACACACACACACACACCCACAACAGCAAACAAGAACTGAGTCAGAACTAAAACTTCTGTGACCAGACCAATGAAGGCCTTTGAAAACAGTTACAGTAAACCATATAAAAACACAGACTAGTTCATTTTGACCATAACAATACAAGTGAAACTATATAAACACAGAGACTATATAAAAAAAATTAAGGGACACCCAGTCAAAACAGATGGAAAGTGAGTGAGAAAAAAATAAACATTACTTACTATCAATACATTAAACCTGAGGGAGATCTAAAGTCTTAATACTTTGTTTCATATCGATTTCACAGGTTATAAATATCACAATAAGCTCAAAGAGGAATGGAAACACTTAGCACCCCGCCCCCCTGCACTTCTTAGGCACAGTGTATGTGTAGGGTTGGAAAAGGAGGCGTAACGGAAAAAAAGGATCGGGAAAAAGGTGAAAATTTTACACTTGCTTCAAAGGCGGCTAAAAATTGTGTGGTTACTCTGAAAAGTGTGTGTGCATTAGAATTTCATCATTTTTGCCTTTGAAGCAAGTGTAAAATTTTCACCTCCATAACCACCCATATTTGTGTGCACTGCACAATGCATATACACGAGTAACTGTATGGTTTTATGCACAGTTGTAAATTAAATATGATGGAAATGAAGTAGAGAATGTAATCCACCATCATAAACATGCCACATATGGTTACAGCTTACAGTTACAAACAAGAAACACACACACTCTCAGCAATTTGTCATTGTGATTTTTCACAGGACTACCTGACATTTACTTTGATTAAAATATATCACATCTGTAATCTCTTTTTTTATGGAAAGTATTCTGCTTTCATCTGGAATGCAGTCATCTGTGAAGAAATCACCTATTAATTACAGAGGAGAGAAGAAAAGAGGAGAGCAAGAGGAAGGAGAAAGAGAGAAGGCATCCAAGTGTGTTTCAAACAAGCCATGCTTGTACATACAGGACTGATAAATGATAAATTAAATAATAAGAGGGCTGACGTTACTATAAATCAGGTGCATAAGAACATGTTTGGCATGTGTGCGACAACTTAATTATATAGTACTTGTCTGTCTGTGTGTGTGTGTCTGTGCACAAACTGTATGTATGGGTATATGCATGATTACACAGCATTTTTTTAGCATTGCTTAAAGGTAGCCTGTTTTCAACGTGCCTCAACATACTCCTTGATAAAGAGTACTATGTATGTTCACCCTGCAAACTTAAAAAGGTTTTTTTTTTTTGTTGGGTTGTTTTGATTAAGTAATAATAACTTAAACAAATACAAGAAATTTACAAAATTAAAAGTTAATTGAAAGTATGTTTTTTTTGGGCTTCTGTTCAAAAACAACAAGGGCGCTTGTCGGCTTCTACAGTAATAAAACGTGAACTCGCGATGCCTTGAAAGTGAACAAAACCGACTTTTTTTAAAGTGGCGTTTATCGGTTTTTGCAAATGAACTCTTCATATGTAGAACTTTACAAATAAAAAGATAAAATACATTTATATATAATTAATAACATTTAATATAAATATTAAATGAAATTATTTAAAACTGAAATTGTGCACATTAAATAAAAAAGGGACATTGCAAGTACAAATTAAAAAGCTGAAGGTAAATATTTTAGGTCTTTACGAATAAAAAAATAAAATACAATTATTTATATATAATTAATAACATTTAATATAAATATTACATGAAATTATTTAAAACTGAAATTTTGCACTTTAAATAAAAAGGGACATTGCAAATACAAATTAAAAAGTTGCAACTAAATATTTGTAGGACTTTACAAATAAAAAGAATAATAAAGTACAATTATTCAAATATAATTAACAACTTTTAATATAAAAAGTTAAATTAAGTTTCGCACTTTAAATAAAATGTTTTACTTTATTTTTATTTTATTTTATTTTAGTTGAGTTAAAAAAAACACCTGCACATAGAAAATGTAAGTAATTGCTAAACTATTATGCAACTCATTGCTGTCTTGAAGGAGTAGTACTTTCTCAATACCACCAGAGGGAGCCTGTGGTTCACTAAGTAATATAAAGCACAGGCTAAGGCAGGGATGCCCACACTCGGTCCTGGAGGGCCGGTGTCCTGCAGAGTTTAGCTCCAACCCTAATCAAACACACCTGAAGCAGCTAATCAAGGTCTTACTAGGCATACTAGAAAC